CTAAGAATGAATGAGAGAGAGAAAGATGAATGAAGTAACGACCGGAGTAGAAGAAATGAAACGAGGGAACGTCGTTGTCACCGATGCACACGTAGCTTCGTTTGCAAGGTGAGGACAAAGTCTGTGTGTCCACGCTCCGAACGACATTACTCTTACAAACATGGATTGCTGGCTCTCGACCCCCAAAGAGACCCATGGTGCCGGGGACCAACAAGAACGTTGGGTTTCTACGAGAAACACCTATCGTCCCCCGGGAGGACATTGCTGGCCCTCCTCCGATGTACTCCGATGGCATCGGCGCTTCAAGCTGAGATAAAGCCAGCCAATATAGTGATTTCAACCGCGTTCATTGATTCATTCCCATTCTTGCATCTTGACGTGTAAATTCGGGGTATCCGTTCTCTTCCTCGTGAACACGGCCGCCACCGAGATTACAGCTAACAGTATACAAAGAGCAAGCAGATCAGGTGGTGATCTTAACGCCATACGAAGTTGTCACCCAGCCCAGTTGCACTATTTCTTTGTTACGACACCCTATGATCTACTCCATAACGCAATTAAAAAGAGAGTCTTATGTCCATGGTCCGATTGGCAAAGCAGCAAATAAACAGATATCTAAAGAGCAATATACTCCATCATCTTTAGAATCTAAATAATCTGCATAAATCTTATGAAACTTTTTTCTTGACTTCAATCTTGGATCACCGTATGCCCAGGAAATCACTGATACTCCAAATACCATAAAAATATATTTTCTTTCCTTCATTTGGTTCTGATAAAATTTTGTTCACAAGTATTGACGAGTCTAAATTAACAACTTCTAGACGGTAGACCAAATCCAGTTTATATCATTCGTCTCTTTAAATTCTTAACAATGTAAGACTATCTTCTTATTTCATCTCGACGATAATTGAAGGGGCACACTCCAAACTTGGCACCCTCATTGGTACTACAAAGAGACACCACGCATGTGCATGTGCATGTGATGTGTAAGGATGAGCAATCCACAAGGCTGCGAGGCAGACGTGGGATTCTCACTTTTGCAGGCAGATATGAGATCAACCATTATAGAACCACACTGCTTTCAGATGTGTGGCTAACCATTAGGAAAGAATTGCTTGTCCTTTGATCTTCCTGAGATATGAGCAGCAAATACTGAGGTGTGACAAATGATCACCTTAAAAAGTACCAAAAAACAAGACTCTGATTCCAGAATTGAATGTCAATCCTCCGATAAGGGATTCCTTTCCTCGTCGATATCGATAACAACAAGACGATCTGGGTCCAAGCCTTTTGGTCCCTCACTGTAGAGTGTTGGAAGATAGGCCTTATATGCTGGCAGGTAACGTGATACAAAATCCAAAACCTGCAAGCATAGTTCAAAATTCAGGTATTGCATGTTGAGGCAGAAGAACAAGTCCAAACTCCAAATATCAAATTGCTTATTACGAGAAAGCTACCGGGTGATTAATCTTCAAACGGGGAAGTTCATTCATCAACAGAATTGTAAAATGAAAATGACTTTGTCAAACATGATGTCATTACATAAAAGGACAAAAAAAAAACACAAAATGACCTAAACTAAAATATATACATCGTCCGACAAGCTAACAAGTGCTGGCAGCTCAACGTATTATCAAATCATACATACAAAAGAGCAACAAGTAATGGCCAAACAAGTAATGTTTCAGTATGGCTAATGGCATTATACCATAAACTCTATTACTGTATATCTGGCAAATCATAGACATCCAATGCCTGTTACTAATCGAATACTTATCAGAACCATTAACAACTCAACATGGATGTGATGTTAAATTACCTTAGTTTGTTCATGCCTAAAACAAGAGAAAGAAAGAAAAAATTAAGAGAACGATAAAAAAAATAGGACTCACCTCTTCATCAGACATGCCAGGTTTCCCGTCTTCCCTCATGGCCACCTCTGCCTGAAAGCCATAAGATATTATTTGAGCAAAGGATCCATGACGCACGGCACAATAATAAAAGTACTACTAGATAGCAGTCTAAGCAACTTATTTCATCAGCATATGCGGTTCACCTGCAGACGCCACTGGTAAACACAATTGGGATCCCGAATTTTGATGATGATCCATGCTTCAATGAACTTGTCCCAAGCATTATAATAAGCTTTGAGGTTTTCGTTGACCAGTTCTAGCTAAAAATTAGATAGGTTCTCATGAATAAATAACAAAAGCAGAAACAATTAACAGACTCCCTTTATCCCATCAAGAACTTGCCTGTGGGTCAACTGCTTTCACAGCTTCATTTGGAAGAGGTTTGAACCCAAGCATCCAACCTTCAAACAAAACAACCTAGATGAACAAAAGAAAAAGGTTAACCAATCTAGGAAACTCATATCCCTTTAAGATCCAAAAAAATAGGGAACGTCTTTCTCCGGAATCTTTGTCAAAATTGATGGATTATTAAAATTTTACAATTTAAAGTAGATATACCTCTACAGGCCCTTCAACCTCTGGCCATGTTGAAGGGTCAGCTCGATCACCCCTGCCTCCATAAGCAGACTGCATAACAAAGAACGTCTATCGTAATTAACCTTTAAAAATGGGCAAAACACCCACAAAAAAGTAAACTGAGATGATACGATCAGCATACCTTGTCATACCGTGGAAGCTTCATCTTCATACCTGAATAGTTTCAAGATAATACTAATCAACAATTTTAACAGTTGTGCAGTTAAACACCTGTCCTTAGCATTTATGTAAAGAATATGTCGCTCAAACCCATAACAACAGATAATAAAAGAGTAGATACTTGTTTCTGAAGCATAAATGACTCCGATGACAAATGAGTAAAATAATACCTTTCTTTGTTAATTTGCTTAAAGAAGTAAGAGTATCAATGGAGAATTGCAGGTCGTGGCTTCCCGCATTCCCACGAAACTGAAAATATGTGATACAACTATGTTATGCCAAATAATCTAATCAAACTTCCAGCATTTGCCTTGAAGATGGAAGACTTATGACACCACAATGCATCATAGATTGCACATATACTGCAAGATAAAATATTAACTTCTTTCAGCACCTCTAATAGAGCGTTTCCAGGATTTTGACTCCTTAATTCCGCCTAGGTACAAAGCCCGTAATCAGAAAAAAAAAAAAAAAAAAAAAAAAGGAATTTTAAGGGAAAAAAGAAAAGGAAAATTTGTATCTAAATGTGTGTATATGTACCTGTCCCTCAGCTGTCAAATAGAAATCATCAATTGATAAAGTTGCGGAATTCCTGGGAAACAACTTGCATTAACTCTATTATAATTGAGCTGATTTCAACAAACACCAATACCACATTGTGCATAAGCATCTAGCACAGTAAAATTGTCTGAACATTATTTTCTTATTTTCTTCTTTCACAAAGGTCTAGTGAGGTTACCTCCCAGATCGCCGGAAAAGGTAATCAAGAGCAAATACAAGAGTAGTTTTTCCACTACCTTGGGGAGCGCTGATACCAATCTGCAAAGAAAAAGTCACTCTTTCACTATACGATTGATGACTTTTCTATCCGTTATTTTCAATTTTCATATTTTTCACTTTTGTTTCACCTTATGTTGGAAAATAAACTTCTCCAGGATGCAGAAGGTCATATCTATTCAAGATGGCCGATCTTAAATATTGGAGTAATGCCTCAATGTTGATTGACAAAGATATATATACACACACAAGAATAGACCGAAGTTGTAATTGGAATGCAATCAAAGAGTAATCACATTATACCACAAGTGGAGGGATATCATCTCCTTCACTGAACATGGAGCGGTGGCGCATAAGTTGATCTTCGCACCAGAGGAACACGGGTACGTAAAAGTGGTAGATTCTGATCTTCTCGGGGGGCGACAAGCTCAGTTCATTGAGGCGGAACAGTTGGCACAGGTGCACCCCGGTCTCCAGCCACTTGTCGATGGATTCCGCCACCGATTCAGCGGTAAGACCCAACCGCTTCATCAGCGGACCCGC